GTTATTAACTGAATTTTACTTTCACACTTATACTTTGTGATTCATTGTAATAATTTACTTTAAACAGAAGAAAACCAACAAGCCTCTATTTAACGCATGCCTTGCTCCAGCCGTGTAAATACATGATGTTTTACATTTCAGGAATAAAAAGCTGTTTTAAGCATACTTTCTTGTTTACGATGACATCATATCCAGATTGTGACCAGGTTTTCTATAAACAATATAAGTTCACATGACTTTTGGCCCTTTTGTTTTAGGTCTTTGTTTTAGGTTTAGGTTTTCTGTGCATGGTTTGATCTTATAAACTGAATAAGATTTTTATTGTGTATGTGTCCAACAAAACCTGACAAAACTTACTTTCTTGTTAAAAACATTTTTTCATCTTCAATACAACTAAAAGTAGTATCCAAGGATGTTCATGTAACATCTAGTAAAAAGACACCACAATTTTTGTCTTTAGCATAGATACAGGGTGTCACATCCTGGTCATCTAGGGCCACTTTCTGAATGTTTTAGAGGTTTCTGTGCTACAACACACCTGATTCGAATGAATGGGTGAATAACAGGCTTCTATAGAACATGAGGAGATAATTCAATTACTGAATCAGGTGTTCTGGAGCTGGGAAACAAGTAAAACATGCATAATATTGGCCCTTGAGGATCAGCACACCCATTAATAACTTTTTGAGTTACTAATTAGGGCTGTGTACTGGCAAGAACTTGACGATATGATAAACATCTCACAACTCAGGGGTCACGATACGATATATCACAATGTATTGGGAATGTGGAAGGAGGAATAGTGCCTCCAAATTCGAGACCATGGTCTTGAGCCAGAAAAGGGTCGAGTGTCTCCTCTGGGTTGGAGTTTTTATCCTCATCCAACAGAGAGTGAGTGTCTAACCTTTGGCACTCTTCAGAGATTGTACACCATCGTTTCATCTTCTGTGAAGAAGTGGCACGTTCTCACAGAGTTTGTCGACATCACATCGAAGCCTCTGAGTGACACCCGGTGGTAGGCTCTGTCAAAGCTGTACGTTTCCAGTTGGGGGGAGTTTAGATGCACTACAAAAGCTTGAAGAAGTGGCAGGAGACAGTAAAATTGTCTCAGAGGTAAAGCCACTATCTGATGAGATTGTCTGTATGGAGTTCCATATGTGCCTGATAGTTTGGTATGATTTATTATGTGAGATCAACTCTGCAAGCGAGGCACTACAAGCAGCAGATGGGTCAGTGGACACAGCCATTAGGCTAATCGAGTCTCTCAAAGCATTTTTACTCAAGTATAGAGAGAGGGCTTTCAGAAGTCATGACATTGCACGCAGTCACTGAAATGGATGCTTCTCCAGAATTCAAAGAGAGATGTTTTAAGCTGGAAACATACGCCCTCCGAACTGCTGGTGTTTGCACGGGCTGTCGTAGTTTCATGACGAAAATTACATCATCGGGCGTCCCCAGCGTCGGCTCGGCCGCCCCTTTTGGCACAACCCGCCGGCAGAACTTTTGACCCCCCCTCCCACGACGACGGTAATGTGTGACTGGTCTGAAGTTTGTGGGCACGTTTGTTTGTGCTGAAAGC